AGATGTAGTGACGAACTGTAGTTACTGACAGTGGTTTTCTGAAGTATTCCTGAGCCCATGTGGTGATATCCTTTACACATTGATGTTGGTTTTTGATGCAGTACCGCCTGAGGGATCGAAGGTCACGGGCATTCAATGTTGGTTTTGGGCCTTGCCCCTTACGTGTAGTGATTTCTCCAGATTCTCTGAACCTTTTGATGATATTACGGACCGTAGATGGTGAAATTCCTAAATTCCTTGCAATAGCTCGTTGAGAAAAGTTGTTCTTGAACTGTTCGACAGTTTGCCCACGCATTTGTTCACAAAGTGGTGACCCTCGCCCCATCCTTCTAAGTGAATGACTGAGCATGTCAAGGAAGCTGCTTTTATACCCAATCATGGCACCCACCTGTTCCCAATTAGCATGTTCACCTGTGGGATTTTCCAAAAAAGTGTTTGATGAGCATTCCTCAAATTTCTCTGTCTTCTTTGTCACTTGTGCCAGCTTTTTTGAAACATGTTGCAGGCATGAAATTCCAAATGAGCTAATATTTGCAAAAACTAACAAAGTTTACCAGTTCGAACGTTWGGTATGTGGTCTTTGCAGTGTGTTCAATTAAATATAGGTTGAAAATGATTTGCAAGTCATTGTATTCTGTTTTTATTTACGATTTACACAACGTGCCAACTTTTCTGGTTTTGGGGTTTGTAGAAAACCGGGGGTTTGGGTTTAAGAGATGAATGAACCAATTGGCGGGCCGAACTTTGGCCACTCGCGGGCCGCCAGTTGAATAGCTCTGGTTTAGAGAGAGTTTACAGAGTTTCTATTTAACAATTCACTTTATACACTTGATACAGTGAGGGAGAAAAACTAAATCAGATCACTTTTTGTTGTGAACAGTTTCTGCTCATCATCATGTGGAACAATAATAAAAGTTGTTTTGCTTGGATGGCAGGATTTAATTTCTCTTCATCGGGTAGAGAGGATGTTGATGTCCGAACTCTTGGAAATGGTGAGATTCCTAAAGATTTTTGTTTTTTGAATGAAATTATAGCTGAATATTTCTASCTAAAATTAATCTGTGGTTGGGACAGTATCAAGCAGTGCTTGGATTGTTCTGTCTGGGTTACTGTAGTTGAATGGCAGAAGACARGAGAGGGCACTGTGTAGCTACGACAAAACTACAACCAGGTCTTATAAATATTGGGACATGGACATGATTCACATCTTTTTGGCTGTAAACACCATCACCAATTAAAAATTAAACAAACAAGATGTGCTTTAAATGGACACTTTCAGCTTTAATTTGAAGGTATTTACATCCAAATTGGTGAACAGTGTACAAATTACAGCAGTTTGTATATGYGCATCCTACTTTTTAAAGGACCAAAAGTAATAGGTCAAATTAACAATGGTAAATCAAAATTTAACTTTTTTATTTTTGATTACAGCCTGAAGTCTGAAATGTATAGACCACCTGATGCTCAGATCCTAGTGATGCTCTGCCAGGCCTCTACTGCAACTGTCTTCAGTTCCTTCTTGTTCTTGGGGCATTTTCCCTTCAGTTTTGTCTTCAGCAAGTGAAATGCAGCTCAGTTGTATTAAAACGCAAATCTAGCTAAAATTAACACACAAGCCAACGATCAAGAGAAGACTTCACCAGCATGAATACAGAAGGTTCACCACAAGATGATCAAATGTGAGCCTCAATTAGGAAAGTCAGATTACAGTCACTAATCAGCATCTAAAAAGCCTTTACAGTTAAGGAACAACATCCCACGGACAGATGAAAAAAAGATCAACTTATACCAGAGTGATGGAAAGAGAAGAGTRTGGAGAAGGACGGAACTGCTCCTGATCATACCACCTCATCATCAAAGCATGGTGCTGGTAGTATCATTGTGTGGGCATGTGTACACCATTCTCTCGATTTGGATGTAAATACAGAGTGCTGTTTACTACCAAAAAGATTAGAACTGTGTTCATGTCTCAATATTCATGCACCTGACTTAGTTCCTATTGAAACTAAAACAGGTATTGTATTCATCCATTATTTTATGTGATTCCATTATAATAAAAGCATATTAACATAATCATTTTTTCTGCCAAAAGAAGACCTTAAATGTCATACTTGAGATTTAAATCGCAATAGCACTGAAAGACGTATTTTATTTATTTTTTGTTTTTTCATTKTCAGGTCGTCCTTTTGCAATGGAGCTGCTGAATCCTCACAGATCCAGATTCAGTGAAGTGGAAATGAAGCAGCTACAAGAGGTGCTGAATAAGATGGAATTATTTGTTGTTGTATTTGTGTATTTGTTTTTTTAGATTTAACTGTTTTTTTTAGATTAGTGAGCTCTTTTTTAGATTTAGGTGTAAATTTTGAGATTAAAGGGTAAACGACTAATTTTATTAATTCATGAGTAAAAGTGTCCGTTTAATTGCAGAAGGAATAATGACTGGCCAGTTTCAATTTTATTTCTTTTATAGACAGCTGACATGACACGGAAGTTCTTGCTGCCCTGCAAATGCGACATATAGAGAGGCCTTTGTGTGCACACAATCAAAATGGTGTAGAATTCATTTGATCATATTTACACACAGAAAATTTTATCCTAACTTTATATTGTTTAAAAAACACTTAACAACAAAGAAAAGTCCGGGAGATCGATGCCGCGGTCCAATTACATCAGAACTCAGAATACGGACTGAAGTCAGAAAAAAAGATGGACACCCGCAGCAGAAAGCCTGGGGTGTTTTTTCTCTTTTGGACTATTAAAAATACCAAACCAACATGCACTTGAAGAACATATTAGAGGAGGATGAAGGCGCAAAAGGTGAAGTATGCACACACACACAAACAACTTTATTTTGTTCAGTTTGTCATAATCAATGTTCACATAGCATGGATGATGATGAGCGGCCCCTCCCACTTTTAAAAACAGAGGAAGAAAGGTGAGCTGGAAAAATTAGTAAATGTTAAAAAGAAAAGTGAACAAAAAAACTGAGGGCAAGATTCAGCCAAACATGCTAAATAATATATATTTTTCTGTGATGGAAGGACGAGGTCAGCGTGACAAATCAGCCGGGCCAATGATGACACGATCCTGGACACAAACCCAGCAGCGATAGATCCACATTACCATCAGCTCTGCCTACACACGGTCCTTCATCCCAGACTTGGTTTATGAGTTAAAATTACTTAATAATGGCTTGATTTTTATGAAAAGCTGCTTATTTAATAATCTTTTAGGAACTTATTAGTATTAGGTTGCATGATATCATGTCAGTTTTGGTTATGAATAGGCCCATCAGTAAATTTAGGTGATTATCATAATTACACCTGTTTGTGTGAAATTATTAATGTTCATATTTTAAACATGTAGTTGAGTCAGCACTGCTTGGCACAATGTCATGCATTACAAATAAAACTAAAACAAGAATAGAAAAAAGTAAAATGTAACTATAAACTTGTTTGATAAATTATCACATTAATTTCCTGATCTTGCCCAGCAGTGAGTTTAAAACCAGGATGATTCATACATGAACTAGTTGATGAACCTGTCTCTAAAATAGTTATGGAATCAATTGTTTATTTATGTAGGTAAAAATATGTTTAGCAACTTGTTAAAATACTCCAGAATGCAGGAAACAGCATCTACTTTCATCAAAATTTCCTGGGGGAGAACCCCCCCCCCCCCACCAGACCCCCCAACATTGTGCCCTTCACACACACTACAGTGCTTCTGATGGTCAGCCGCAAAGACGAGTATAGTAGGAGCACTTGAGTAAAAGAACAAAAGTCTGTCTCCTGATGCCTGTGTGTGTATTGTGTGTATTCAATTACCGTACTAGGTTTGATTGAATGCTCTGATAAAACGCTCAGATGATTAAAAAAAACTCAATAGACCTCTGAAAAATTTGTCCCCCTCACTTCTGAGATGATGATTACAACCTTGTTAATATGCATTTCATTCATAGACATATGTCTATGAATGAAAGACAACGTAAAAACACAAACAAGCATAAAAGAGGRTTATTTTAATCTAAAATTACTCAAAACAATATTCAAACCAAACTCCATTAAAAAAATCTGCTACAATAATAATTGCACATATTTTTAGTGCGAGCAAGCTACATATTTTTAGTGCGAGCGAGCATATTAATGTAATGCATCAAGTGAATAATAAAAACTATAATAATAAAAAATCCTTTGTAATGCACGTAGTCTATGACCTTTTTAATTTGGGGGGCGTTAGGGGTCCTCAGTCATGGCTAGGGGGGCGCTGGCCCAAAAAAGGTTGAGAACCACTGTTATAAACCTTTAAAAGTACTACATGTATGACTGACTAAATATGAAATAAACAATACAGAATTACGGTACTGAATGTAAAGTAAGAGTTTCACTGACTGTCGTTGTGGGTGGCTGCCATGTGGAGGTGAAATGTTGCTCTGTCAAATCCAAGCCAGAATTTCATCCAAATTCTGAGCTCCAACTGTAATATTTTGCGCTATACAACAAAACTTGACAGGACAACCAAGTTTCCGTGCAGTAGCAAAGCTCCATTTTACTGTGCCCGGCAAATGCGTCGCTCATGACTGAACAGTGCCCCAGAAGTTCATTTGTCCTTTCACAATAAAAGCACAATAACATCTTCATCAAACATTACAAGGATGTAACCGGACCGCAGCATCAATCTCCCGGACTTTTCTCTGTTAAGTGTTTTTTAAAGGGGCAATATCGCGTAAAATCAACTTTTTTGAGTTTTATATCATGTTATCTTCTCATCAAAAACATGCCCAAAGTCTTGCTTTGACTCATTCACGAATGTTTGAGAAATCCTGTAGTGTCCTGAGGCAGCAGGCAGGGGAGCAAAAACGACTGGTTGGGTCTAGAACCGCCTTTTGGGATCAGCTCCTCCTCTGGGCTGTGTCTCCAAGTCAAACTTCCTCACCACAGAGCACACACATCCTCCAGGCCTGTGCTGAAATGGGCGGGACAAAGGCAGAAAGAGGTTCTTAAAGAGACAGAGGTCTTTAGAAACAGATATGATGAGAAGTCAAGTTTATTTTCTATTTAAACATATAAACAGCATTTTAACAACAACTGAAGGTGACTTAATTACTTTTATTATGCTGTAGGATTTAAATATATGCCTTAGAAAGACATAATATTGCCCCTTTAACATTGAATTATTTGCTTTCAAACCTTTACAGCTACTTTTAAAATGTGTCCAACATTGTTATGAACTAATGTTTAGTTTTGAAGTTTAAAAGTTATGTTTTAACATTTTGTTTTTCTTTGTTTCTGTTTTCAGGTAAATGGAGGATTTATGGAATTTTAATTGATTGTATTCTGTTATTATACATAGATTAAATGCAAAGCTTTGAGTTCCTTGTGTTAAAAACCAGCCTCAAGCCTCATGTACTGACTGCTAACATTGTTACTGTGTTTGCAGACAATAAACAAGTCCTCTGATAAAATTCGAGTCCATGACCTGCAGATTGTAAGCAGGTGAGCAACGAATGCTTTGAGCTGAAACAGATGTGTGTAATGTGAGCTAAGGAAACAGCTCCATGCTGTGTTTACTGCAGGGAAGCCATGAGTCACATGAAGGACGGAGAAGAGGTGAAGACCAAGTCCTATACGGCACTCATCTGGACCCAGAAACCCATCCAGAGAGAAGACATCACTTTTATTGATGAAATTAAGGTCAGTCAGGTTCAGGACTAGCTGGTACCTGTTTTTATCAGGGCTGAAGTTACTGTTTACAATGTGATCTCTTTAACAATTTGAGATTTTATATATATATATATATATATATATATAATTTCCCTTCTCACCCTCCGCGGGTGGTCTCTTTCATCCTCTGAGCTCGCGTCCTCTACCAGAGGCCTGGGAGCTTGAGGGTTCTGCGCAGTATCTTGGCTGTGCCTAGAACTGCACATTTCTGGACTGAGATGTCTGATGTTGTTCCTGGGATCTGTTTTAGCCACTGCTCCAGTTTGGGGGTGACTGCCCCGAGGGCCCCGATGACCACAGTGCCTGTGGAACAATGGAGCTTCAGGTTGTGCAGGGGCGTCACTGTGGTCTTCACCTTCCAGGTCTTTTCCAGTTCCTCTCTGAGGCCCTGGTATTTCTCCAGTTACTCATGCTCCTTTTTCCTGATGTTGTGGTCACTTGGTATTGCGACATCCACCACAACGGCTCTCCTCTGTTCTTTATCCACCACCACAATGTCCGGTTGGTTCGCCATTACCATCTTGTCTGTCTGGATCTGGARGTCCCACAGGATCTTAGCTCAGTCATTCTCCACCACCTTTGGGGGTGTTCCCCACTTCGATCTCGGGGCTTCCAGTCCAAATTCTGCACAGATGTTCCTGTACACTATACCCGCCACTTGGCTATGTCGTTCCATGTACGCTTTCCCTGCCAGCATCTTGCATCCTGCGGTTATGTGCTGGACTGTCTCAGGGGCCTCTTTGCACAACCTACACCTTGGGTCTTGTCTGGTGTGGTAGATCTGAGCSTCTATTGCTCTGGTGTTTAGGGCCTGTTCCTGTGCAGCTAGGATRAGTGCCTCTGTGCTGTCCTTGAGTCCAGCTTTTTTCCAGCCATTGGTAGGATTTCCTGATATCAGCCACTTCAGTTATTTGTCGATGGTACATCYSATGTAGGGGCTTGTCCTCCCATGATGGTACCTCTAGCACCTTGTCTTCTGTTCCCCATTGCCTGAGACATTTGTTGAGCACATCATCCGTTGAGGCTTTGTCCTTGATGTATTCATGGATCTTGGATGTTTCATCCTGGACAGTGGCATATACACTCCTGATCAAAATCGTAAGACCAGTCAAAAATGTGCAAGAATTTGCATTTTGCACTATTGGATCTTAAGAAG